CTGCAACTTCACCAGCCTGCAAATCCGCACTGCAAGTGCATGCCCAGAGGATGAGGCACACTCCATGTTGGAGGAAGCCCTAGAGCAAGAAGATAAAGCAGGCCACAGGGCCCGTTTCTGAGAAAGGACGCAGAAGTGAGCCCACAGGAACATCACTACAGCTGTGGCTGGAATCGGAAATGCAGGACACCAAAATTGTGACATAACGAGAATGCCCGCACACGCCGTCAGGTCAGCGGGGTCGCTGGTTACCTTGTGGAGCTGGGGTTGAAGTCTGGCCTGGATTGCCTGCCCATGGACTTCTTGTTCAATGAGATAACAAACTCCTTATTTCTCTAAATCACTGTTATGGGGTTTTCCTTTAAATGTAATTCTGATACATATTATACATACATATTATGCATAGTAAGCATAATTTAAGATACTGTAAATAAAACATTATCCGAGAAATACTGCTTTACATGAAAATTTGTGAAGGTGGTTTTCCCTATAGTCAGAAAATTTTCTTTCATATTTATTCTAACTCTGTCATCACTTTTACAAACTTTTTTTCAAGATTAATTTTTATTTATTTGAAAGTCAGAGTAAGAGAGAGAGAGAGAGGGAGAGAGAGAGAAAGAGAGAAATCTCCCAACTGCTAGTTCATTCTGCAAATGGCAACGATGGCCAGGGCTGGACCAGGCTGAAGCCAAGAGCCAGGAACTCTATTCAGGTCTCCCATATGGGTGGCAGGGGTCCAAGTACTTGGGTTATCAGCTGTTACGTTCCAGGGTGCACATTAGCAGGGAGCAGGAATTGGAACGGGAGCCAGGACTTGACCAAGCATTCATATATGAGAAGTGGGTGTCCCAAGAGTTGTCTGAACAAGCACACCAAATGCTTGGTCCTGCCCTCTTTAAAATGTGATATGTTTGTATTTTATTCTTTGGTATTTAATGTAACAAAAGGGAGGAACATCTTAGAAAAGGAGATGAGTGACATGTGAGATTAGGGTTGGGGGTTGGGCTATTTGCAATCAGGTGGGGATTTGCAGACTGTGTGCTAGGCAATAAAGGAGCAAGGAAAGGAAGAGAAGAAATCTGTAAGGGACTTCCAATCCAAAAATGCTCTGTGATGGTTTTCCCCTAACACAGGGTAGAGGGGGGGAATTTTACAAGGAATGTAATATGTTTTATTTTGATAAACCTATCATGTTATGGGTGAAAGGAAATTCAGACATCAGTTGTTTTTGAATTAAACTAACTACTGCTTGGACTTGTAATTTGTTTAGGCTTGGTGTGGAAGAGGTGGTCTTGATGAACTGTTTTCAATTTGCGATTTTTTAAATTCTAAGGTTATGTGAAATTACAATCATAATCAGTATTTCCATGCTAAAACTCAGAGAGCCATACTTCCTGTTGTTGTTAACTGAAAATATACTTCTCTGAATGAGTCTACAAGAGTATTTGTAGAGGAGCAGGCGTAGGTAATAATTTACTGCTACGGGGAGCTGCAAGATGCCAGGAAAGAGATGGGTCAAGGTTTGGTTGCGTTCAGTCAGCATTTCCTACTTACTTAGTCACTGTCATCGCCCCGAAAGAGCGAGTGTGAGGGTGCAAGGGAGCAATGTGGTTGGGCCTCACGTTTGGCATTCCTCCCTGTCTGATCTGATTCTGAATTTTGCTGTTTGGTTGCTTTCTGCTTCTTTTGCTGATTGTTTAACTGTTTCGTAACTGTTGAATGTCCATGGTGTGTTAAGCTGTTACATTTTATGGAAAATGTTTATATTTCTCAACCAGTTGCTATCCCTAACACTCGGCTCCCATGATGAGGCAAGTGCATTGATGTGATTTTGTTTTTTCAAGGACGGCTGTTTTACATAAAGTCATCCCAGGACACTGGAGATCTGATGAGCATATACAACAAAGAATTTGTTTGTTGGTGCCTGGTGGAACTAATTAAACACATGGACAGACAAACAAGTCAAATCAGGATGCTCCTCTAATTCATCCAAGAAACCTCAAGGGAATATGCTCTGTCTCTACTGATATCTTAATTTCTCTAAATCACTCTGGCTCTTCCAAATCTTGTTAAATAATAATCTATAATAATATACTCTTTTTTTAAATGAACTGTTTCTACACTGGTGACTCGGAATTCTTTTTTTTTTTTTTCCCCTATTTGGGAAGGAATTCATACTCCTATATCTAAAATACCCCAAACTGATTAAATGGATCCATTCTACAGGCATAAAAATCATAAGGAGACGCTGAGATAATATGGCATTTCGGGTTCAGCTTGTGCAAGTCAAGATGTCCTCTCTATTGTCTCACAGAGAAACTCTGATGTAGGCAGGTACAGGCGTGCTCTTTTTCAGATGGCTGAGGGAGCTTGAGCTGGTGTGAAGATAGAAGAGATCATGTAGGTAATTCCTTCCTGCAGTCCGTTTTGGGGGATCGGATGGGTGAAGATGTTCTCTGATCAGGAAGCTCCAGGATTCGTGTGATCATGTTGAGGTACTTGGAGTGGAAAGTGAGGCTACACGTAGGGAGATGCTGCAGTGGAATTTCTACTGTCTGATCTATTTCATACCTGCCCTTGAACTCTTAGTGTTTCAGTTTCCTCCCCTGAAAAGTGGGGCAATAATAGGAACATTCCTCATGAAGCGATCATGAAGAATAAATGAGTTAATACGTGTAAAGCACTTAGAATACCACCTGGCTCATAATAAGCATTGAATAAATATTAGCTACTACTACCGTAATCATCATTTTTTATCTCATATGTAGGCTCCTGAGTAGGAGAACAAACTGAGCTTTAATAAATACGACTCCACGAACTTGTACCCTAACAAACGGAAGGAGTTCAGATAACTTAAATAATAATAAAGAAATTTAATACCCGGCTTTTATAATTACTCACTAATTTTGCTGTGTGTTTTTCTTTACACTATTTATGAGACAACATGTTATGGGTGAATTGTGTCCCTAAAAAGATTTATTGAGCTCCCAACCACATATATGTCAGAATGTAATCTTACTTGGAAATGGGGTGTTGTAAGGTAGTTACTGAGATTGTACCGGAGGGTGTTGGTGGGAGGCCGTAATCCAATGGGTCTGATCCACTTTTCAGTAGAGAGGAATCTGGAATCCACTGAGGGAAGATGGTGTGAAGATACATGAGATAGGCCGGCGCCGCAGCTCACTAGGCTAATCCTCTGCCTTGCAGCACCGGCACACCAGGTTCTAGTCCCGGTTGGGGCGCCGGATTCTGTCCCGGTTGCCCCTCTTCCAGGCCAGCTTTCTGCTGTGGCCAGGGAGTGCAGTGGAGGATGGCCCAAGTCCTTGGGCCCTGCACCCCATGGGAGACCAGGAGAAGCACCTGGCTCCTGCCATCGGATCAGCGCGGTGCGCCGGCCGCAGCGCCCCAGCAGCGTCGGCCATTGGAGGGTGAACCAATGGCAAAAGGAAGACCTTTCTCTCTGTCTCTCTCACTGTCCACTCTGCCTGTCAAAAAAAAAAAAAAAAAAAAAAAAAAGATACGTGGGAGAAGTAGGCTATATGATGGTGGATTACTGGAGAAATGCATCTCCAGACCAAGGATTCCTTGTCAAACACCAGAAACTGACAGCATAGAAAGCTCTCTCCTATCTCCTACATGTCTTACAGGGAGAATGACCCTGCCTTTCTTTGCACTGCAGGCATCTGCTACATCCCGTCCCCCCCACATATTTATACAGCTTCAAAGTTCCTGTTTCCTAAAACAGCTACTGGGTACCCATCATTGGCCAGACCCAGTGCAGACTTTCCACTGTGATCCCCTCAGATCAAGGCGACCAACTCCAGATTTATAAGATTCCAAACACTTCTTTTTCCCTGATGTCCTAGAAAATTCTTCCAGTAAGTCCTATCTTCATTTTGTACCAATGACCATACAAATTTAAAATGCTGTGGATGCCTAGCCAATAATGAAAGAGAGATGCAAAGTTAATCAAAGTATCTCTAAGTCGGTAGCTAATTTTCTCTTGACTCTGCTTACTGCTTCCTTAGTTTCCATAGGATGGTAGGGTTTTGGTCAAGGAAGCAGGCCAATTACATTTTCATGACTATTTCCAAAAACTCACCTATCAGACAATTTGTAAAAAGCATTCTTTTTTTATTGTATCTGCATAAATGAACAGTCATTGCCCTTCTGACTCCTCTGTGCTATTTTGAAGGTCTGTGGAACCCAGTTGTGGCTTTAAAATACAGAATATGCTTCTCCAGAGGTCTCAACCAAGGACAGGTCCCCATGTACCCAGAAGGATTTTGCTTTGTGTATTTTTAAGAGAGCAATTAGGGTAGCTTTAGTTCCTTCTGTTTCTTGATTAAATCTTGATTAAAATCAGTGCTGCAGTTGGAGAATGGGAAGCAATCCTGTTCTTCGTTTCCCTGCTGTAGGTAACATCACTTGATTGCTTGAGACAGTTAAAGGTGCTTTGGTAGTAAAAGGACAGCAAGATTAATGGGCAGTCATTTCCATAGTAACAGCAAAGCACTCTGGGAAAGAGAGCCACTCGGGAGCAGGAGTTACACATGCCAGGATTTCGGCTCCCATGGCAACAGCAGAGTGTGGGGTGGGGATGAACACACTGGGAAACTTCGCAAAGGTCCGTTTAGTGAAGACAATGTATAATCAGAGTTGTCAATCTATTTTAAAATTTGAAGTTAAAATAAATCAAATTTGAGACCACAAGCTGATGCAAAACATTTAAAATATACTGTACACCACTGAAAATTTCTGAAGCATAAGCACAAATAGTTTAAGAACTATCCAATTGTGACAACTTGTTAGTTAAAAAAAATCCAATTACCCAGATTTTTGTCCCAGAGTAGTTGCAGAAAATTACACAATTAGAGCAATTTTTCTCAGCTGCTCTACTTCAGAAAACGAAAGTAATTATACAAAAATAGTGAAAAGTACTTTTCACAACTGCAGTGAGAGTTTCGCTTTCTTTAGAAGAAATTCTGTTTTTCTCTTAGATAACCATCTCAAGGAAAAGTTGAAGAGAGCTGGCAATAAAAAGAGAAAGCAATAGCTAAAAGAATCAAGAACAAAGCAAAGGTGAGTGAAATATTAAATGACTTGAGAGAAGCCAAAAAGGATTCAGAAAGACCAAAGAATCCAGCATTTCAATTACAACGGCTAAAAGAAGTTTGACATAAAATCGTATTCCCCCTGCTTTTTGTAACATTGAGTTTAAAGTTTTTGAAGGTTTCCTTTGTCCTGCATGAAATTATAATGTATTCAGGGAGTTCAACACCCACTTTGGAATAGGCATTCTTATCTATTCAGGTCTTTTGAGTCAGGTCTACACAGGCACTGAAACAGAAGTTTGGTAATTATCCATTGAGTGGGGTATAAGCTAATTACCAACCATGTCTATTAAGGGAAGCGTGTGTATTCATTTCCATTCTTTACTGAGAGAACTTATTACTGGAAGTCCTTTTTTTAAGATTTATTTATTTATTTGAAAGGCGGAGTTACACAGAGAGAGAAGGAGAAGCAGAGAGAGGTCTTCCATCCCCTGGTTCACTCCCCAATTGGCTACAACGGCTGGAGCTGCACCCATCCAAAGCCAGGAGTCAGGAACTTCTTCCGAGTCTCCCACACAGGTGCAGGGGCCCAAGGACTTGGGTCATCTTCTACTGCTTTCCCTGGCCATAGCATAGATCTGGATTGAAAGTGGAGCAGCCAGGACTCAAACCAGCGCCCATAGTGGATGCCAGCCCCCAGAAGCCTTTACTGAGACTGAGCATGCATGATAAATTTGGAAAACAAATATGATTGATTCAGGCCAGTGTCTGCCCTGAGTTTTCTCTATCCTTTATGGATCTGGAGGCAGGAAAGTCCATATGAAGCATCTGACCAGTGTCTCAGAGAAGACTAGTGCCTAATTGTCAGGCATCAGCTCAACATCGCATCCTACGTCTTGCTTGGAAAGATTTGTTACAAGGAGTGTGTGTGGATTTGCCTATCAGGTGTCAGCACCTGTAATCTGTGAGCTGCCATCCTCCCCTGTCATCCATGGAGCTAACATTGTGCTGTGTCTCTGATTTCCTGCCTGTCATTGATTGATTTAAGAATGGGCACCTATGTTGAACTTGACTAGTCAGTGATTCCCCAGGATTTTGGGATGTGGTACTCAGCACTCGTCTGTCACCTGATTGTAGCTGTAAATTGTATGACTTTGCAATTATTAGTGACCATATCTTTTGTCATATGGATACAACTTCAAGAAAAAAGAATAAAGGCACCAGAGAAAAGCAGAGATGGAGATGGCAACTTGATGTAAATGATGTCCAACTGCTGGTCTAGATGTTTCTCTCTTCTTTTTTTTCTTTTTAAGATTTATTTATTTATTTGAAAGTTATAGGGGCTGGTGCTGTGGTGCAGTGGGTTAAAGCCCCAGTCTGCAGTGCTGGCATCCCATATAGGTGCCGGTTTGAGTCCCAGCTTCTTCACTTCCGATCCAGCTCTCTATTCTGGCCTGGGAAAGCAGAAGATGGCTCAAGTACCTGGGCCCCTGCACCTGTGTGGGAGACCGGAACAAGCTCCAGGCTCCTGGCTTTGGATCGGTGCAGCTCTGGCCATTGTGGCCAACTGGGGAATGAACCAGGGGTTGGAAGACCTTTGTCTCTCTGCCTCTGCCTCTCTGTAACTCTGCCTTTCAAATAAATAAATCTTAAAACAAAAGTTACATAGAGGATGAGACACAGAGAGAGAAAGGGACCTTCCATCCACCGTTTCACTCCCCAAATGGCTACAACACCCAGGGGTAGTCCAGGCCTAATTCAAGAGTCAGGAGCTTCTTCTGGGTCTCCCACATGGATGCAGGGGCCTAAGCACTTGGACCATCTTCCACTGCTTTCGCAGGCGCGTTAGCAGGAATCTAGATCAGAAGTGGAGCAGCCTGACCTCAAACTGGCACCTATTGCAGGTAGAGGCTTTACCGGCTATGCCACAGTGCCGACCCCTAGTCTGGATGTTTCTGAAGCCCAGAAGAATCTGCACTTCTGGTTGCTTGATTGTATCCTTTCAATAAGTTCCTCCCTCCCTGTGTTTTTGTTTTGTTTTGGCTCAAGCTTGCCCAAGTTGGGTTTCTATCTCTTGCACCTCGGAGTCGATTAATGTAACAGCCTCTCTTCAAATCCTCTAAAACACATGATAAAATGAATAAAATAGAGCAATCACTTAGATAATACATTTTGGGAAATAAGGCAGGGAACCAAAAACTAATTGCAAGGTTTTGTTTTCCTTGCAATCCAATGGTTTATAAGAAAAGAAAGAGGACTTGGAAGCAACTACAACCAGGAAATCGTCAGAAGAAGTCCAGTTGTAGTGAAAATGCAGTAAAAATCAGAGGTTGGCATCTTTTCCGATTGCCTGTAGAGGGTGACAGGTATCTGAGCTGGGATCCTCCTTTGGGCTGTTTCTTCTCTGTTGCCTATCGAAGGGTGTGATAGGTAGGCCCTTTAAATAGCAAGGAATGTCAACACGCTCAGGTAACTGGTCCAACATCCAGATAGAAGGAGTTTTTGAAAACAAGATCAGGAAAAAAAAAGGGGGGGGAGAGCAGGCTAATTCAAAGTAATTTCCTCTGGACCGAATGAATTGAGTTTAGAGACTAAATGGTCTCATGGAGAGCCCAATACAACAGAAGGAAATAGATCTTCACCAAGGCTGATTCTGAGAAATTCAGAACACACAGAACAAGGAGACGATCTTACATATCTCCGAACAGGAGGAAAAGAAACATCGTACACGAAGCCTAAGAAGCTGGATTTTTTTCCCCTGAAGTCTTAATAGCAACCCTGTTGAGATAATGCCTTCAAAATTATTTCCAACCTAGAATTCTGTATTCAACCCAACTACCAAATAGAAGTAGATAGTAAATGCATTTCAGGTACATAAGACCTCAACAATACAATTGCCACACATTTTGTAAAGGAAACAATGAGAAAGATGTGCTACTAAAAGAGGAGAGGAAGAGGAATACATGGAGAAAGGGAGTAAGAAGGTCAAAGTCTCCTCAGGAATTTGGGGATTCTGTGATGACAGCTGTGCAGCAGGTGCAGAGGGCCACTGTTGCACACCAAACAGGTTCAAACAGTTGTTGCCCTAGTTCTGTGTCCATGCCACTGTTCCCTCAGCAGGAAAGACAGGTATAGTGAGAGTCTCGGAACTATATTAGTTATTGATTGTGGTGTAAAAATTACTAGATACAGTACCTTAAAAAAATCTAAGTGTGTCATTCTCAGTTTCCCCTGGGTTAGGAGTCCAGGCACACCTTTTCTGCTCAGGATCTGACAAGGCCATACAGGAGGCACCAGGGCTGGATTCTTTCCTAGAGCTAAAGGTCCTTTCTCAGGGTGGACCGCTCACATAGTTGTTGGAAGATGTTAGTTTCTTGTAATTGCAGGACTGACTGAGATCTTGTTTCCTTGCTGACTATCACTCGGGACTGCCCTCAGCTCCCAGGAGCCAGCTGCAGTTCTTTTTTTTATAAAAGATTTATTTATTTACCTGAGAAGCAGAGTTATAGACAAAAAGACAGAGAGAGAGGTTGGCCATCTGCTGGTTCTCTCCCCATATGGCTGCAATGGCCAGAGCAAGGTCCGTCTGAAGCCAAGAGCTTCCTCCGGGCCTCCCTCACAGGTGCAGGGGTCCAAGGACTTGAGCCAACTTCCATTGCTTTCCTGGCCATAGCAGAGAGCTGGATCGGAAGTGGAGCAGCTGGGATACGAACCTGCACCCATATGGGATGCTAGCATTGCAGGTGGAGGCTTTATCTGCTATGCCATAGCGCTGGCCCCAAGTTGTAGTTCTTTACCTTGTGACCCTGGTGCCACACGAGAACTTACTTCTTCAAGACCCGCCGAATAATCTCTCAGACTGCCAAAGTGGAGTCTTATATAACATAATCCAGTGAAGTCAGTGACTATCCCATAGCTTTTGCCATAGTCCATTGGCTAGGAGAAAATGAGAAGTTCTGTCCTCCCTCAAGGAGAGGGGATTATATAAAGACAGGACTCATTGGGGCACTGTAGGCTTCTACCACAGAGCTATAAATTTCCTTGTGATAAAATATACAATGATAATGGTACATGCCCAAAGTTGATGATAAGACATTAACTAGGTATTTTCTCAGGTGAATGGTCACACCAGTGTTTCATGGTCTTATAATCAACACATCGCCAAGAGCCTTCAGATGGCTGCAATGCTGGGGGTGCAAAGTCTGCTAAATATGAGGAATTGTCTTATATCGATATCATATAAATGTACTGATCATATATACTGACTTCTACTTTGTATTATGTCTGTGATTCATTATGTTGTTGCACAGCCTTTCATATGGCTGTCTAGTATTCCATTGTGGCTACACCACGTTAATCTATTCACCCTACTGTTGATGAAAGCTTAATGTGTTTCTAGTGTTAGATTCTTATGAATACTGATGCTCTGAACACCTCTTTGAATGTGGTGTGGTACACCATATAATTTCTGATCTCATAACAAGATGTCTAGAAAAATCTACAGTAAACCTAATAGTCAGTGGTGAAGTATTACATTTTTCCTCTGAGATGAGGAGTGAGATAAGAATGCATCATCCCTTCTTTTAAACTTTATACTAGAGAATCTACTTAATACAAATAACTAGAAAAAGATGTGAAAGCTGTAAGGATTGGTGAGGAAAAAATGGTCATTATTTCTAGACTATAATTTGTATAATATAGGTAAACTTATAATCAATAAGTGAATTTATCAAGGTCTATATACAAAGAATCTTCCTAAAATCCGTGGAAAATAGGTATTACAAAAAAAAAAAAACTATGCACAGTTTCCAAGTTTTTTGACACCAAAACAAACATCTTTTCATTCCATTTTCCATGAACTTTTTGAAGTACCCTGACATAAAGGTCACTTATATTCAATTGACAACAAACAATTAAAATTTTCCATTAAAAATTACTAGTTCATTTTGTAATACAGTAAAAATATAAAATTCTTAGGAATTAGTCAAGTAAAAGATATGTGCTATATCAAAAACTATAAAACATACA